TGTTCCTGCTTTTATTTTTTCCACTTGTATATGCACTAATTTTAATTTTTTTAAGACTTTTCTGATCTCTGAAGTTTTGCCACATTGTATACTTAAGGGAAACTCTTTGCAAGGACATTTCTGGGATACATTTTTGTCACTGAGGATATAGCAAAATTTATTCATTTTTTTACATTATTTGCACCCAGAATAGCATAAAGGACCAGGTAAATAGAAATTGTGTTCTGTTAATGACCGTTTAGTTCGTAACATCTGTAAAAGTGTGTTGTATGCAAGCTCTGTATGCCACCCACTGTTAGCTCAAAGAAATGTGAGAAAATGAAAATTTTTTAAAGCCAGTCAAGTGAAGTATCAGTGAATTGTCAAAAAAAAAAGGAAAGTAAGTCCCCTGCCATTTGATTTAAACTTTGTCTAAGCGAAGTGACGAAAATAGCATAATAGGAAACATCTGTAATTTAAGGAGCATATCGAACTTGCTCTAACCACAACCAGCGCCTTTTAAAAACTGTTTGTACGTTTTCCTGCTAGTCAGAAGCATTTACATTTATGCAATTTTTTTAATAGATTTTTTTTTAAAGAAATTGTTTAAATGCCTGAAGTTTCAGGAGTGTATTACTTTAGGTTATTTACAGTATAATTTTTGTATAAAGTTCTGTTCTTTGAACCACAGCTTTATTATGGTACGCTACACTGGATACAGATACAAAGACACTGTTAAAAGAAGATTAACTAAACACAGCAGTTGTCTGGCATCAAGAGCTTTTCAAGTTTTACAGCCTGAATCTGGAGGGATAATGATCTGCTGTGCCTTTGCAGTCACTGCTTAGCCCAAAGTAATATTACTTTTGATAATACTCAACACATGAATATTCCTGAAGTAATTCAGTCTCAAAAGTCTGGAATTTTCCTCCTCAGTTACCTTTCTAATATTTGGACATGCAGTTGTCTCCAAACTTGGGTATTCATGGGATTTCTAGTTAAACACCTACACTTTGATACTGAAGACTGCCAAATATGTAGGAATTTCCTTCCTTAAAGCAGTAGTGAAGACTGTATCTATCCTTTCCCAGCACTGAATGTTTTAATAGCACTGGGTGCTCACCATGAAGAAAATGTGGAAACTCAAAAGGTCAGGACAGACTCTAAGCACTTGCAACTGATGTTACTGACATCAATTTTAATAATTCTCAATATTTGTAGTTTTCAGAGAAGTTTTTAATATTTCTCTGTCCACTTTTATAAGCTTTAAAATGATTCTCCGCCTTGAGACTTGCATCAAGAAAAAAGCAACTCTCTTCACATCGAAAGCTTTGAAGACTAGGGACATGCTTTACACATTTTAGAAAATGTGGTTGAATCCACATTAGGTAGCATCAGTTGTTGAGTTTAAAAATCAATTATTGTTGCATTTGATCAAATGAATTTTAAAAGGAACGTAATGTTTAATATTCAAACGATAACAGTTGCCAGAATGTTCTTTTTAATATAAAAGGAACAGGAACTTTGAAAAGTGAACATGCAAAACAGTCTTTTATCATTAGCTCATGTATTTGAGGAAGAGCAGCTGTCTTTTATATGTTTTTTGACAAATCATATTGTAATTCTTTTGTACAAAAAAGAAGTACTTGTATTCTAGAAGAAATATGAAATGCTTAATTTATAAGCGGGCTGAGGTTTTTTCCAGTATTGTTTTCTTTGAAAATGAAAGGGGATCATCTGTTCAGTTGTGGGGTTTGGGAACCTTTGAAAATTTAATTTGTGGACCAATATTTTATGAAAGTGTAAGGCAGGGGTAAAATAGGGCTTGAATTCTCATCCTTTTTAGACCAGCAAACCACCCTCTGCAAGACATGTCTAAATTGCAAACCTGTGTGTATTTGCATAATGTCAGTTTGCTTCAGCCCCTAGTAACCTCAGGACTTGGTTAAAAAAAAAAAAAAAAAAGGTAGACAGCTAATAAGTTTTCATACAAGATGTCAGCCAGAAAATATTTGGTGTCAGGTAATACATAAAATAAAAAAAAAAGTTGAGCTTTGTTTTTTATTTATTTCATTTGGTCTGTATTTGGAAATGATTTGAACAGTCTGAAGTTCAGCTTAGGTGTTTTTTGGGGGAGGGCCCTTCTACCCCATTTTAATTCCATTTAGAAGGTTGTCCTAAAGTTGTAGTTTGATCCATTCATAGGAAGAACTGTGTATCTGTATTTAAAATGAGCCACCAGGATGTGCCCTCCCAGATGGGAAATTTAATTCTGACCTTCCTCTTTTTTACAGCTAAAAGCACAGAAGGGACAACCTTTGAAATCATCTGATGTTGGTCATTTTAATTTTTGTACCTGTTTAAAATTCTGTTGCTGTATTTACTATATTGTAAATATTCTGTTGAGGGTACCTATGTATTTTTGATTTGCCCTTGTTTCAGTAATTCAGGTGTCAACTGCTTCCCCTAAAAAGCACCAGTATGTTAAGTTTTAATGTCATGATCCCGATATGTGTTACTCATCTTTAATCCTGTTTTCATTCTTCATGTGTACAGCAGTATTTTTAATAAAGAATACCAGAAATAATGTGGCCTTATTTTGACAGTGTGAAGTTCTGAAGTTGCGTACAGGGCTTTTCAACTTTGGCGCCAGATTTGTATTTAATTCTGCCATATTTATTCTGTATCCACTGTCTGCAATGCAAAGTTGAAACAGTCGTGACTCACAAAGTGTGTTTAGCACTTGCCACTTATGATCTGTCAGATGTCCTAAAACTTGGAGATATTAACTAGAATCATACACATTTCCTTAACTTGTAAGTCAAGTCCCATCTGCTTCTGTTGGATTAGGTCTGCAGACAAGCACTACCTAAGCCTAACTTAACTCTGTTACAATATTCTTATGTTCATGTTTGAGATTTTTTTCCCCCAATAACAACATGGATTAATTTCTTCGATAATTTGGGTGTGGAGTCATGACAGCTTCCTTTCCCAGAGTTATTTTCTGTATTGTTAGCCAGTGAAAGGTGAGATGATTTACTGGTGGGGTAAAATCTCCTATATCTGTCCAATCCTGACCATGCTCCCTGCAAACATTTAACATGGAGTCGTCATCCCTTAAATTGCAGTGGTTTAGAAATTTTGTTGCATGAGCAGCAGTAAGTTTCATTGATGCACTTCTAGTCTCCAGTTTCCTTCTTATGTGCAGCAACAGGCACACAACTCCTGCGGCAGTGGGCGAGCCCCGTACGCTCTGCCTTTCAGAGAAAGTTTCATCTCCACTTTCTTCCAGCACTTGTGCATAGTGCAGCTGCACTGTAGCTTGGAGATCCCCTCAGATTATTGTAAGGTGCTCTGTAGCAGAGAGCAATCGAATGAACATCTCTGTGGAGGCGGCATCCCCAGCTTCTGATGGATGGAGATCCTCTGAAGAAGAGAGCGTACTTACCAGGCCTGAGAAGTGTGCCTTCTGTGCAATTACTCCCTACTCTCCTTTGCTCACAGAAGTGCTCCATGGGATGGGTTGTTTGCCAGATGCGTTAGTGCTGCCCAGTGCTGAAACATCTTCTGCAGCAGTCTGACAATGGATTAACGAGTTTGGCAGAACTCTGTGGATTCTTTCAAAAGCAAACTTTATTATATGAATTTAGCAGCCAAATACATAATGTGAAGACAGAAAATGCAAGACAAAATAGGAGTTCTTCACATCTGAAGAAGCTTAGGGGGTTCATATAAAAGTAATCTTTGTAGTCCAGTTTTCTTAAATATTTATGCACAAAAAGCATATTTATATATTTACACTGTGCAAATGTTTCCTTTGAGATTCATCATCCCATAACTATTCTTTTCCTAATTGGAGTTAAGAAATGGTTCTTAAACTTTAGTTTTGGTCAAGATCAAATACACTTTACTAGTGAGAGACAGTGCAATAGATGAGTAAAACTGATATCATCTTCACCAGGAAGATACAGAATTGTTACATATTTCTTTTATGTGAATATCCAAGAACATTTTTCTTTGTAAATATGCAAAAGATAATTTGCCTTTAATTCTGTTAGTGGGTTAAATTCACAGCTCCTAAGCTGAGTTTTAAGAGGTCAGAACCATATTATAAGTAGCATTTGAGTTAATATATATCTATAGTGGACCACAGGAGTCTGAGATTGGGCACTAGTTGAATTGGAAGACATCAGAGCTACAGTGTTAAATGGTCAACTCTCATTTTAATATTGCATTCAAAAGTGGAAGGGGGTGATGCATCCTTATGCTTCTCAGACAAAGAGCGCTCGTGCCCTTTCTGAGATGCTATACAAAAGCCAGCTGCAAAAGAACTATACATTTTTATTCCTGTACATAGATACTGGTAACTAATAAGGAAATTCAACTGTTTTCATAAAAAGCTGCCCTAACTTTCCAGGGAGGTTGCCATGTCACTTCTAACTAATCTCTTCAAAGTCTCCAGTGATCGATTCATTTAAAGTATATGCAGTTTAGTAGCTGTCCTGTCTTTTCAGACAGATTCCCATAAATAAAACATTATCAGTGCAGTGTTAGAAGGTCCACAAGGCTTTGTGGACAGAGCTTGGCTTTAACGTATCTACCTTGTGGTTTGTTTCCAGTGTGTGCGTGTTGGCATACTGACAAAGTGCAAAACTTCCAAGAATATTTACTTGACTTCAGCAGGCCCGTCCAAATGGAACTGATATGTATTCCCCGTTGTTGCAGCCCTGGTTCTGATCTTAGTTTTCTATCCTTGCCAATTGTGTTTTGCAACACAAATTTAGAACTCTTGCCTTGCAAGACTCCTTACTGCGTTTGCCATCCTAAGCATTTGGGAAAGTCAAGGCCTAAGCACTAGTACTTTGCTATTTTTTGTATACGCTTGTTGCATTTTGTATAAAAGCAGATTGTTGAGATTAAGCCAATGATATCTTTTTGAATTTTAGGATAATTAAAATTACTTGGGTGAAAGTTTTCAAACTGACAGTTGCAGAAGTACATTTTTGGATTAAATGCGTATTTAAATCTTGGCCTAGAAATACTTAAGCAGGTGGCTGAGAATAAAGGACGACAGAGTTGTAGTCAGGAGGGGGGGTGTGGCTCGCTTTCATTTTCTCCAGCACTGCGTTGCCACACGTGTATCTTCGCTTGGAGTCACTGAGCTGCTCACAGCTGAAACTGCAGAAGCTTCTTGGCTTGATTAATCCAGAAAGCACCGACTCCTTGCTCCTGCTGGCACCTTTCATGCTGTAAGAGAGCAGCGTCACTGTTAGCGTACTTGGCGTGTACAGGCGCTTGTTTTAATGGCTTGAGCAAAGGCACCCCACAAGGAGCAGCTTTGTTTGTTCTCGGGCGATGTGAATGGCATTGATGCAGACGGGATTGCTCAATGGGAGAGTGGAACGGAGGACTGAAAGTGTTCTGTTTCCCCCTCGAGTCCCCTCCTGACCAGAGATGCTCTGACTGAACAGGGCTGTTAAGGAGCTTGTGTTCAGTGTAAGTATTAAGAGTCTTGGTGCTTACGAGGAGTACTTGATTGCTCAGCCTGAGCTCTGACTGCTTGTCTGTGGCACGTGCTAGGGAGGGAAACTTCGTGGAGTATCTGGCGTCTGTGCTGCTGCTGGGCTGTGCATCCCCATAGGTTCTTCCTAAGGGAGCTGGTTGGGGTTTTGTTTTAGATCAGGAGTGAAGTAATGAAAGGTCTCAAGACTTGGGGGCAAATGCAGAAAGCTACAAGTGTATGTGTTCCCAAAGCCTAATGCTGGGTCGAATTTTTAAGGTAAATGGCTGATGTTTGTGAGGAAGGGCAAAAAGACTGGGTATCTCCTCTCTTTGGCTTCTCTTGGCAGCAGACATGAACTGCTTTGAACTGACATGAACTGCATGAACCTTCAAACTGAGGTTTGAATTAGAGTTTTCCTGTCCCACAAAGGACCAATTATCCTGTAGGCTACCTTTTATAAGATGGTCTTTACAAAAGGAGTTAAATGTCTTCTTAGCTGAGCCACTTTTGATGACACTGCTTGCCTTGCAGCACTTCATTACTCGTATTCAGGGAGCACAGTGCTTAAAAGGCAATGAGAACTTTCACACAATAAAATGTAGATACTGAAGATTTATCTGTAGACATAGGACAAATCAGAGCATTTTCCATCACTGATTACGTGTCAAATCCTAATGTAAACGTATGTTGGACTGCAATGCCTAAAATTAGATTCCCTCCCCTGTGTTTTTCTACGTTCATGGACACTCCGTCCCTCTCCATTTATAAGGTCAGGAGTGTTGGCAGCCTTAGTCTTGAATTCCAGAGAATACAGTCAGAACATCTGTTGAGGCTTTCAGAGCCCAGGGTTTTGCTTTTCATTTTAATTTGCACAGTTAGATCTTTTAAAGTACAGAACTGGTAGCACAGGGCTGTTCCCTATGAGGAAATGCAGAAGTAACAGTTTCTCTTAGATGTCACAGTTTTCTCAGTCTTTAGCTCCCAAGCCCCTGTGCTTTTTAAGGGTTGTGGTCTCTGTTTTCTGTCCTACTGTGGGAAGTTGGAGGGTCCTCCCAAGAAGGCCATCCCATTGTATTTGTTTGTAGATGGAGTTTGTGAGCAGGAGCCCTCGTGATGAGGACTGCAGATGCATCCCATATTTTTGTATTGCATCTATTGGCAGATGGCTGAGTTATTGCCTTAGGATAAGTTCCATAACTATCTGGTGAGTTTACTCACAGGCTCAGTGGACTTTTTGTGATGGGTTTAAAGAGAAATGCTTCTGTGATTGTAATGGTGAGTCTTAGGGAGCAGTGGGCTTGCGAAAGTGGAGTGTGCATGCAAAATTATGAGCCTTAAAATCATCACCATTTGATCCTTTCATTCATCATCAGGCTCTTCCATCCAGAGAATTTTCTTCTGAGCTAGACTTGGCATCTACTTTCATTAACAAACCTCTATACCAGTAAAGCTGCATCTATTAATTTTACCTTGAGTGCACTGCTCCCACAGAGAGCTTTGAGGGAGCCTGTGGGGTTTTGGCATCTGTTGTAGTCAGGCTTCATTTTGAGACTGAGCTTAAAGGCAACTGTAGCTGTGAACTCTCTCCTTTCCACTCTAGGAATATAAATTAGAAACTCTCTCTGCTTGGGTTTTAATTGGAATCATTTGCTGGTGGAAATGACTGCTGCTTTCCTGACAAATTCAAGAACTGAGGGAGATCAGAGGCTGACGGCAGCACCTGAGATACTTATTCCACTGGTGGTGGAGTTCTTGGACATTTTTCTGGCTTAGCAATTTGCTTTGACTCAAGAGATTCTGTGGCCTGAAGATTTTTGCCTTGGTTTGGGCTTTTTCACCAGTACTGAAAAGCAAGAAGAGAGTTGCAATTGGGATCCTTTGCACTTGCAAAGGAGCAGACCTCAGAAGATCATTCTTTCTCTGCCTCCAAACCTTTCTGCTGGGATCTTGTCTCCTGAGGTCTTCCATAAGTAAAGACTTCTCTCTTTATGCCATTCATGGTATCACTTACTTTCATCCCAATCACAACAGCAAGTCCAAGACATGCAGCAACCATTTCTGTTCTGATCCTGACTGCCACCTGGGTCTGAGTGGTTCCCCAGGATTCTGGCTGATGACACCGAGGGTGAGCTTTGCATGTTGGTGCCTTTCCCTCCACAGCAGTAGAAGCCCAAGAGGAAGGGGCTCACCTGGATCAGTGGGGTACAATTGCACCATTAGATAAGCTGGCTCCCTGCTCTGTTTTTCCCTGGGCCTGGCCCTTGAGTTGGTCATAGAATCATTTTGGTTGGAAAAGATGTTTGAGATCATCAAGTCCAACCATTAACCCTACTCTACCAAGTCCACCTATAAGCCGTATACCAAAGAACCACATCTACACAGCTTTTAAACACATCCAGGGACGGTGACTCAACCACCTCTGTGGGCAGCCTGTTACCAATGCCTGACAATGCTTTCAGTGAAAAAATTACTCCTAATGTCCAGTCTGAACCTCCCCTGGAGGAGCTCGAGGCCATTCCCTCTTGTTTTATCACTAGTTACTTGTAAGAAGAGACCAGCACCTGCATCTCTACAGCATCCTGAAAGGCCCCACCTCAGCCTCCTTTTCTTCAGGCTAAATAGCCCCAGTTCCCTCAGCTGCTCCTCATAAGACTTGTTCTTCAGTCCCTTCACCAGCTTAGTTGCTCTTCTTTGGACCCACTCCAGCACCTCAATGTCTTTCTTGTATTGAGGTGCCCAAAACTGAACACAGTGCCCAAGATTCACCAATACCGAATACAGAGGGACGATCACCTCCCTGGTCCTGCTTGCCACACTATTTCTGATCCAAGCCAGGATGCCGCTGACCTTCTTGGCTACCTGGGCACACTGCTGGTCACACTGAGGATGCACCAGTGCATGCACTGGCTCTCTCCTGGAGACAGCTGATCAGTTTCTTCTGAAACAAACCCTGGGTGCACTTCTGGGGACAGGTAGGATGCACTAGTTTGTCTCCTTCCACCCTACGCAGTCCTTCAGCACTGTCCCACTGTGGCCCAGTTCAATCTGAATCCTCTAGCACCATGCTCCAGGGCACACCACCCACTTGTGCTGCTCCAAAAGTGTCACCCCACCTTGGCTGGCTCACATGTGATTTCAGGTGCTTTGAACTGAAAAAACATCACACTGAGCCAAATCGTTCTGCCCTGGGCAGCAGGGGAATGCAGGAGCCCAGGGGAAGGCAGACCAGCCCACCCCAGCCTGCAGGCGAGCAGGGAGCTGCAGGGTCATGGCCATGCAGCATCCTCAGCCTCGGCTCAGGACACACCCCCTGCTGCAAGTGCATTTACCTGCATCTCTGTCCTAAACTGTGGTGTGGAGGTTTCCAGCGTGATGGTAAGTGCTCTGGGAGCAGTTGATATTGCAGCAAAGGTGATCTAATTCTAAGCTGCTGGTAAGAGTAGGGCGACTCCTTCCTCAGCCTGGCACTGGCACCAGCTGCCCTGATGGTGAGCTGCTACTGCTCTCTCAGGAGCTATTCTGAGGCTGTCCTTCTGATCATCCAGTGACCTGAAGCAGACCTCTGCAAGCCAAGCCAAGCAGAAATGTCAGCACAAGAGGCGTGGAGGACCACAGAGAAGGATGAAGGACTAAGGAAGTGATTGTCCCCCTGTACTTGGCACTGGTGGGGCCACACCTTGAATACTGGGTTCAGTTTTGGGACCCTCATTACAAGAAGGATATTGAAGTGCTGGAGGCACCCAGAGAAGGGCAACAAAGCTGTGAAAGGCCTGGAGAACAAGTCCTGCGCAGAACTGCTGAGGGAACTGGAGTTGTTTAGCTTGGAGAAAAGGAGGTTGAAGTAGGACCTTATTTCCTTCTGCAACTCTCTCAAATGAGGTTGTAGTGAGGTGGGGGCCAGTCCCTTCTTCCAAGTAACAGGTGATAGGACAAGAGGATAGTGAGAGCCTCAAGTTGTGCCAGTGGAGATTTAGGTTGGATATTAGGAAAAAAATATTTCCTGGAAGGGTTGTAAAGCCCTGGAACAGGCTGCCCAGGAAAGTAAGTGGTTGAGTCACCATCCCTGGAGGGATTAAAAAATGTGGTGCTAAGGACATAGTTTAGTGGTGACCTGGCAGTGCTGGGTTAAAGGTTGAACTTGATGATCTTAAAGATTTCTTCCAACCAGAGTGATTCTATGATTCTGTGATGCTTGAAATGCAAGGAAGGAGCAGGACTGTGCACCTGGTTAGCTCAGCCTGGATGTGTCAAATGCCTCCAGGCTCCACCCTGTCCAGCGTTCAGTACAACTTTCAAGGCTATTTATTTACTGCTCCAACTTAACCTCAGCAAAAGATGCTTAGCTAAGAAGCTACCACTTTTAGGAATGTGTGCAGACTAAAGGGTCACTGCATGTATTCACTTACATCAGTGCTTTTTGGCATAGTGCTACAGTACCACTTGTTTAGCTTGCAGGCCAGATGACCTTGTATGTTCTCAGCCAACTGTTATGTTTCCCTAAGGATTTACATTCTAGCAGCCACTGTTGAGTTCAATTTTTTCCCCCATCCAAGCATTCCTTTTCCTTCTGCAGCTGAAAATGCTCCTTAAGGCAGTTCTGGAGGGATGCTTGGGGCACAGTCCGTGTATTCTGCACCAAGTAAAGAAAAAAGCATTTCATGCATTTCATTTGAGAATGCTGCCATGTTGTCTCTGTGGCTGACAGCAGCCTTCAGAAATATGACATTTACACAAAAAAATGGGTTAAACCACTTCTAGGAAATGTTGCACTCCACTATCCACAGAAATTCTAAGCTCTGTAATAGCTGGCTCCTCAAAAGAGAGTATGGAATATTGTCTCAATAGAATCTAAGTACCTTAAGATTGCTCAGAAGCCTCTTTCCTGAGATGTGAGTGGTCAAAGCAGGAGAAGGGCTTTTCCAACACTTGTTGGGAGTAGCCTGAATCACCCTGGCTTTGCCACACGTGAGCAATGCTCCATTGCAGACTCCTGCTGGCAGCACGTTTACCCTGCACGCTGTGTATTTTGGCTGTGTGAGCGCGCACGCTCTCGTCCATGTATTTCTGTGTGTTGAACCAACGCCCTCTTAGTCACTGGGATTTTTCTTGAAATAAGTCCTCTGTGCCTTGACTGCACGTTTCAGCCAGCTCCGATTGTTCATGGAGACAATACCACACCTCCCAGCCCGCCCAGCTGTGAGTCACTGACAAGTTCGGCACGGGCAGGATGGCAGGATGGCCTTGACCTCCTGCCAGCGTGAGAGGAACGCCAGGCTGGGTCTGGGCACTGCCCGGGCTGGCTGAGGGCAGCCAGCTGAAACCAGCCTCAGACACTGCCAGCGCTGGGAACCGAGACACCACCAGCATGCAGAAAATAAACAGTTCCCATTTACAGAGGGTTCATGTCAGTGCGGCGTATTCCTCAGAGCAGCCCTAGTTCCCTGCTTGGGCAGCTGTCGGGAATTAGCCAGAGGAAGGTGGCCAATATTTTGAAGTGCTTAAAGGCAGGAAGAGAAGTGAGGCCCTCACATCCATCTATTGTAAAGTTGCCACTTTAGCATCCTGAGCCCATGGGTGTTAAATGGGCTGTCCTTAGCTGAGTCATGAAAAGAAGGGCAAAAACAAGCACAGAGAGCCTTGGCCCAGCTGGGTTGCCCTTGGGGACTTGTGGAAACAACTGCAAATCCTTCACAGCCACACGTTCCTCCTCCCCTTGCCAAGGGCTTGTTTCCTACAGTTACCTACCTCTATCTTGGTTTAGTGCTCTTTGGCACTCACTTGTCCAGCCTGGCATTAAGATGAAGATCAGGCTGATCAGTAGAGAGCTATAATTCATACTGGCAATGTGCATCAAAAAGGTTGAGGGTCTTCAAAGGTATATGGAATGTTAGATGTGGGAGATGATTGACTGCTGATCCAACCAAGGATCTTGTGACTCAACAAGAGTGTTTGCAGGGACTGGGGATACCTCAGCTACTTTCATTAGGCATGACTTAGCACGGGGACTTTGAATCCTCCTTTGCCCTCTAAAACATGAAGGAGGAGAAGGGTACATAAAATACAGACCCAAAGGGTGTCCGTTTTTGCTTGCTGCCTGTCCACGTGAAGCGTTTCAGTTCTTCTGGAGCCAGCACCATCCCACTGTCTGCCTGGTAATCCTTGAAGAAAGATGAAAGACACAATGCTATTAGGTGTTATCTGTAGAAAGTTACAGTGGTCTCAATTCCTCTTCAGTCTGAGTTTCCCCATTATTTTGGTTGTTTATACTCAGAGAGCTGTAGGAAACAGTGCCTTCATGCTGGAGGTGCTGCAGTGCCCAGGTATTTAATGGTGCCTTTCCAAATTGTTCTTGCCTTGGGGTGCAGCAAACACATGCTGTTAATGCAGATACAGAGTGTTAAAAGAAAGGTATCCATGTGCAAGGTAGAACCACTTCTGACCAGCCACTTGTTCAACCCTGACCACCATGCCTTTCCCACCTCCCACTGCTTAATGCATACAAGCAGGTCATTAAAAGCTTCCCTCAACCTCTCACTCATGTCCACTCACATCCCAAGCGTACCCTGTTAGTAGACATTTCCCCAGCTTGTCTGCCTGATAACAGGACCTAACCCTACCAGGAAGCTCTGATGGAAACACAAGCCATGATTCTCATTGTGCACTACTATTGAGATGAAAATACAAATCCAAAGGTATTTTAACTGGCTCTTCCACACCAGTGGGACTCAAGTGGGACTCTGGCAGCTGTACTTTGCAGACCTACTGGCACCAGCCATTTCTTATCAGGAAAGGAGTGTTTGCAGGCAATGGCCTGGTCAGCAAGGATGTGCTGACCCCCATTTGTAAGACAGTGGAATAACACCATACTGAGAGCACAGCTAATCTTGCACCTCGTATCAGTAGAGCTGACAAAACAGTAAAACCCCGTCTTGATTCTCTTTTTATAAATCTGTCACACAAATAAAAAGAAATAAATGGTATATCATTTGGCCTGAGAGGCACTTACATTAAATACAAGCGTTTCCTTGATGGGAAGCTCTTCAAATGTCTTTATGCGCTGGAGTGTTTTTATTTTGAAAGTGTTTATGTATCTGTTCAACAAGAAAAGCAGGACAGTTTTTGGTGTGTGAAGTGCGTAAGCAGGAAGCACTGGGTGTTTCTGTTTCTCTAAGCAGTTGCCTAACTGTCATCAAGGTAGTTTAGACAAAAGGGACTCCTTAACCGGATGCCACCCAAACCTCCCTCCTCAGCCCTGGGCTGCACACAGTTGTCCCCCTTGCAGCACCTGAGCCCCAGTGGGCTGTCCCCACCCAGCAGGATCCCTGCGGTGGTGGCTCAGTGGCTGGCAGAACGCTCGGGCCCTGTGGAGTGTCTCTGTTTTCTCTCATCCAGGTCCAAACCAGGCTATCCATCAAGCTACTACACCCAACAAACTCGGTCGTAGCTTTGCTTATCTCACCTGACGTTTTCAGTGCTTCCACAGCTTGACTTTGTAACAGAAAAATGTTCATTGCACAGAGGGTTAGATGCAGGGGGAGACCCACTTTCTGCTGTAAATATCTTATTGAGGGGTATGTAGTCTTTGCCTTCCTAAATGCAAAGAAGAAATGAAAGCATTACTCCCTGGTCGCCCCTGCCTCAGTGAGAGCACGTGGTCGTGACGTTAGTACCTGCTGGGCGTTTGCTTGCAGCAGATCTCCCAGCTTTTTCACCAGCTCAGAGAACCTCGGTCTGTCGTTGGGATTGCTTCGCCAGCAGTCCAGCATGATTTGGTAGCTGTGAGGACAAAAGCAAAACGAGCACATGGGGGTCACAGCTCACTTTGATCCAAGACAGCACAGTCTCTGACAGCTTGTCATCAATAGAGTTAAGTTCTGAGCCTGCCTGACTTTACAGAGTTGCTCTCCAACACCATCAAGGCCTCTTACTACAAGTAAAAAAGTAAACTTTCCACAAAAAAAAGAAAAAAAAATATTCCCACAAGATATTGGGAAGACCACATCAAAAGAATAACTTAGCCAACTAGTCATACTTTCTTTTTTTATTCCTAATTAAGCATTAAACCTTTGTATTAAACATCTATTAACTGGCAATGTTTAGGTTAAGGCATCCTAAGATGACTTATATAAATGTGTCACTTCCTCATATTGGTCAAGTCAAGCTTTCCTTCCTGCAATAAAATACGTGGAAGGGAAAAAAACTCAGCTCTTATCTGCTGTCACTGGGATAATAAAATTAGCCAATGGGTAGTACTCCCAGATAGTCATGGCTGGTTTGCATCCTTTTTCTTCTTCCAGAACCAATTTTTGGTAAGTGTTGCTATTTAAAGTCATGACGTAACACTTGAAAAGTGCCACCTGCACGTACTTGATTTTGCCTCAGGAGGTAAAATACCCTGGATATGTTCATGCTCTTGAATGATTTGAGACATGGAATGCATGTTTGGCCTGGTGCAGGTGCCTTCCTGAGCAAGACAATCCATCCTGCTCCCAGGGCAGAGGGTCTCACTCAGATCCCCCAGGCCTTTGAAAAGGTGTTGGCATGCAGCAGCAGCTGGAGGCTGCACTGTAGCCAGGGGACTGGGGAGTGACAGCTGATGTTGTGGTGGAAGTCCTCGGGCAAACCGCACAGGCGACATGAGCTGGGAGGCTGCAGGTCCCTGTCACCTTCCTCTGCCATCAGACACCGTCTCCAGGAAAGGGTGGGCCCTTGTCACCCCAGTGTTTGCAAGGAAGCCTCCACTGTCACTTCCTAAGTCGAGACGGCGGTAATAATGTCACATTCCTCCAGCACTTATCTATGTGCACGCCAAAATATTCAACCTGGAGAGAAAAGAATGACCTTCCTTCTCCGGGCTGCTCACTCATCTGTCCTCAGAGCCCAGCCCCAGTGTTGCCCTGGCCTTAGGTCCACATCCCTCCTCAGCCTCTCCTGCCCCGTGGGAGGTGCAGGGGACCAGGGAGGGGGTGTGCAAGAAGATGCTGTTGACAGCAAGAAGGTACAAAGGCAGAAGTGGGTTGGTTTTCCGTATGTTGACACAGGTTACTTTTTACAGAGTCTTGTACACCATCTGTAAGGCAGCCCAGAGGGGCAGTGGTACCCAACACAAGCCAAGAAAGTCATCTTACATCTCCTTGGTCGCTTGCTCTGGGGCTCGCATTCTTGTACCTTCCTTTAGTTTGCTGCAGAAATCCTCATCTATTTGGACTCCTGGGTAAGGAGAGGCACCTGGAGGTGACATTGGGAGAACAGGGTCATACACGCCTGGAGCTGGTTACCTGTGACTTAGCTTTGTCCCTGTGCATCCCCCTCAAACACTTGGGGTGCGCAGCATCTGTTTGCAGAGCTGGGAGCCTGGGGACATCGCCCCCACAGGGTTTGGCCCCTGCCAGCTGCCACAGGAAGGGAACTGCTGCTGCTGGTGCTCCAAGTCCTGCTCTTTGGAGGGGGGCAGGATCAAACCCAGCACTATTGGTGGTGCTTACCTGGCCTGAATGCAAAAGATACACATGAATTTGACCTGAAAAGCATCCCTCAAGAAAAGCCAGGTCTGATCTCTCTATTGGTTTAGACCCTACCCCAAGTTCTAGTAAGCAGAGTAATAGCAAATCCAAAATGCTCAGAAACACCTTGAAAATAATGGAATCATGGTTTTAAATCAGATCACAGTACATTTGCATAATTTTTCTGGTTTCTGTGGTTTTAAGGTGCAACCTGATTGTGCTGCTGGTCTTTATTTCTGTAGACCGAAAAAAAAAAAAAAAAAAAAAAGTCAGGAAGAAGGAAAACGAAAGAAAGGAAAAATAAAAAAAGACCTTTCAGAGAGTCACACAGTCACCAGGTTCAAGGAGCTGGGGCTTTAAGAAAAAAATAGCAGGTATTATGAGACTGACCATAAAATCACAAGAGTTGGCAGGCTGAGCAACAACACGTATTTAAGCTAATAAATGATTGATTGTCCTGAGAATTGTATAGTATTGTTTCCTCTGCTGTTCGCCTCCTTTGTCAGCCTCTAGGTTGAACCCAATTAAGATTCTTCTGTTCTGACGGTCATTGTTGTTCCCGCTCAGTGTACATCTTGTATCCTGCCTTTTCCACGTGAAAAAGAAAGGGGGGAAAAAAGCCTCACTGGCTTTTAATTTTGGATTGCATGCTCTAGTTCATCCTGTGGCATCTGTGCAGATGCTTGTTTGCCTGCTGTGTCCAGCAGCCTGGCTGAGCAGGGTGCTGGGTTCCTCCTGGGCTGGGGCAACCACCTGGTCTCAGGCTGGAAACTGAGCTGATGGAGTCTGAGACATGCAAAGACCTCTGTATGTTCAGCTCCCTTGCTCCCACAGAGGGGTGAGAAGCTTTTGAGGGAGCACCCAGCCCATGGCACTCTATCTTGAATGCCATCTGTGACACAGAAGATGGTGCCTCAGTCCCCAGCCCACAGCTGTTATCCCACAGGGTTCCACATTCAATTAAAACACTTTTAAATTTGCCTGGTTTGTGCTGTTAGAGCACTGTAATTGCGTCAGCTATGCTGCCCTGCATTTCTACTGGGAGTTTCTACAGGGAAAAGAGGGAAGCTTGGGCTAGGTTTTGCCCATGGCAGAAATAGGTGGTAAAGTTCTCAGGTAGCTGTGCCATCCATTAAGGCTTTCAGCCTGGCAAGTCAGCTTTCAGTGCTCTTGCAAGCACTAAAATTTCCAGTTCACAGGCATGAGATAAACACAGTTCTCCCCCCTACCCACACACCCCACCTCTGCCTGACTTAGGTCTTTCCTTATTAAAGACCTGGCAAAAGCTCTCTGAAGATAATGGATGTTTTTCCACAAGCTGAAGTCCCTGCTGCTGAGTCCAGCTCCCAGGGTGCAGAGCTAACGTACCCAAGGAAAATATCTCCCACAGCAAGACCCCATAGGACCACACGTCGCTTTTTGTATTGTAGATTTTATCAAATATGGATTCTGGAGCCATCCACTTGAGAGGAAGTCGAGCCTGGAGTAAAAGGGACAAACCTGACTATTATTTTCAAAGCCTAAAAGAATTTAATCACAGATGAATCAACTATATATTGTTATGTAAATAATTACCATTCAAACAGGAACCTGTGGGATTTCCTTACAGGCAGTCAAGATAAACCCACACTCATTCAAACACTTTCTTAACAAATTGTCAGTAAAAAGTTGGCTTTAAAATACATGTAGCACAAACCACCAGTCACTGGAAGCCTGTGACCAGATTGACCAGGCATTTTCTTTAGGGGAGGTGGGACTATGCAAGAGCAGCAGTCTCTTGCCAGCAACCTTGGGACTGGGGAGAAGACCCTATGATCAAGTGCAAACCATTCTGTGATGGTGCTGGAGATGATCCTCAGGAAATTTTCAGGGCCTGAATTGCAGGAATGTATCAGCAACATTTCAAGTCCCCCTGAGCACAACCTGTTAGGGTCTCCTGAGCAGCATCCAAGTTATGTGAACAGTGTTTCCCAGCTAACGTGTAGTGCTGTCAATCTTGAAAGCTATTTACCAATGAGGGATGGCTGGCAGGTGGGTGAGCCCTCCAGAAGGAGACTGCATGACCCCAACGCCCACACCAAATTCCTATGGCATCAGTGGGTGCAGGCACAGTTTGCTGACACAGCCTTCCCTTCAGGCCTGGCAGGGGGTTTTACTGCCTGCTATTCGTAGCAGAAGCAAACACAACGCCCGAGTAAGTGCTGAAGGTAGCAAGTCCAGCTCAGCTGCTTGAGGTGCCACGAGCAATACGTGGCCCTGGTGTGGCTGCACCAGGGGACAGGCACCTTCTTTTGGAGGGACTGGTTTCTCTGAAGGAAGCATACTGAGTAAGGGGGTTATGCTGAGCCAGCCAAGAAACTCATCTAAAAAAAATCTGACAGGGCAGAGCTGTGAAACAATTGGTGTGTCCAAGCCTTCTGCCTGAGGATAGAAATGTTTTTGGGATCTACAACGCATCTGGATAGCTCATCTTCACATAAAACCCAGGACAGCTTTCAAGCTCTTTAACGCCAGGAAACATGAATGACTACAGAACATTTTGGTGGACGGTTTGAAATGATATGTTATAAACATTTGGGTAAATAAACAGCATCTTGACTTACATCTCCTTTTCTCACATAATCAGGATTCTTGTAAATATCTCTTGCAAGGCCAAAATCACAGATCTTCACTACATTGTTCTCAGATAAAAGGATGTTTCTGGCTGCCAGGTCACGATGAATGCACTATAATAAAACAGTTTCACAATCAAACTGCATTTCCTTAGTCCTGCCAACAAATTTCCTGACCATCTTACATATCCTTTTAAAAAATTATTATTATTATTATTGAGATCAATTTAATATTTTTTTGGGGAAGTTGACTATAGTTTACAATAAGTTACTGTAAACAATGGCAACTCTTAAAGAAACCCAAAGCTGCCCAAATCCAGAAAGTGATAAGTTTTTAAGCCCCTTGACATTTGCAGGGAAAGCACTGATTCATTTGGAGCTCCCTACCTAATATATGTTGAAAAGAAGAAAAAAAAAAAAAAAATTATGCCCAAAAGATCTTCACTGAATGAATGGGCTTGACCCACTGCCTTCAGCCATGATCCTGTGTTTATGGACTGTGGAGACTTGAATAAATACACCATTATATTTATAACACCAAGAGGAAAACAGCTCTTCCTTTGGGAGCTTTCCCAAGGATGGTGTCACTAAAATGTAGATATGATTTCATCTCTGAATCCCATCCTTCTGCAAAGAAAAATCCCCAGCACAAACCTCACCTTTCTGGAGGAGAGGAACTCCATGCCTCTGGCCACCTGAAAGCTGTAGGAGATCAGGTCCTCCATAGTGAGAGGCAACTTGTAGAGCTCACCAGCATCTGTAAAAGTGGAAAGCATGGTTTGGTGCAAAGATCACTGACAAGGAAGTTATTTTCTGCCTCTCTTACTGACCCTATTACTCTCATAGATTCAGTCTTCATAGAGTCGTATTCGAAGGTCAACCCACTGTCACTGGAAACAAAAATAGTGCTTGCTTTATACCCTGTGCTTTGGACACTGCTGTGTTTTCCCCAAAGATAAGGAGCAGTCAGAAGAAACAATCACACATTTTCCTGTCAGATTTAGTAACCCTGGAAATAATCTTTTTTTAAATCTTCTACCCTCTGGACATGACCCTGTGAGCATCTCCCACGGATGTTTATTAGGGTGATAAATGAGGAAAAAAATTTCAGGGATGCACAGTATGTTGTAAAAATAT